ATTTAAATTATTTTTATTTACTCCCCTCTTAAAAAGTGAAAGATTTTATGAAGTTTAAGCTCTAGATTTGACAAATAAATGTATCCTAGCAAAAGTCGTATGCATTTACCCTAAAATTTTAAAACTAAAACTTTCTTTTAGTCGAAGCATAAGAAAGTTATTTGTGGCACATGCTAAAACTTAATTCAGTTGCCCCAAAAAACTTTCACAGAATTACCTCGAGTTTAAAAAGAAATCTATTATTATTTCCTTCAAGAGCTGCTCCTAGGGAGACGCAAATTGAAATTGTTTGCCTCTCCGGATCAGGCTGCTTCAATATACTATATACATATTTAATAAATGTTGACTGCCAAGTGGGCTACTTTTGCCACTTTGGCCTCAAGTCCGCTGCAACTTTTTGCATAATTTCTAATAATTCGACTCTGAGGCGGCTCTCGAGCTGGGGCTGGACCTGGGGGCTGGCAGACTTGGGGGGCTAGTGCATTTCTTTTGTGCTCACCTTGGCTCAGTTTTATTTCGTTTGAGCAGCTGCTTGGCCCGAAGAGGGCCACGGCATCCTTTGAGCATCCTTCACGCAGCGCATTTTATGCCTTTTTATCAGCGAGGATGTCGCAAGTTTTACGCAGCGGCAAAATTGTAGCTTTTAGGCTTTGCGCCACTTTCAACACTTTGCTTTATGGCATTTTTGGCCCTCTGCTGCTACTGCTGTTGTCGGGTGTCTGGGAGGCGGCGGCCTGTTTGACCCTTTTAGCCGAGCTTTGGACATGTTTTCGTGCTGCATTTAATGGCTGGCCAGATACAGTTACACCAGATACCGGGCCCTGGTGCGTTCGAGCCATGTTCGGTGTTGTGCAACACTGCAGCAGGTGGCTAATATAAGCTGCTCTACAAGTCGAGCTACATCACAAAGTGAGCAACAACAACAACAACAACAACAACAACAACAACAACAGCTACAACAATCGTGGGCAGGGTGCATGCTAATGAGTTTGAAAGCAATTGCCTTAAATTGTTTCGGGCCTCAAATTGGGCTGCTGTTGCTGGTCGATTCAGGTGAGCGGGGTCGTGTGGGTGCCTCTACTAGATTTATCTCTGTCTCTCTCTCTCCCTCACTCTCTGTGCAAGTGGCCTAATTGCAGGCGTGTTTGATTTACACTAGCCATGAAATCGTCCATTTCGGCATTACAGGGAATTTTGTGTGCTTCTTCTTCTTCTGYTAGTGCTGTTGTTGTTGCTGTTGCCGGTGCTTCAGCTAGTTATGTCCGGGTCTCAAACGTAAATCCGACACACATTCAGTCTGCCAGCCCAGATTAATAGCCCATTCAGTGCGAGGGGGGAGCAAAGAGGCGAGGCAATAGCTAAGCGGCATTTATTTAGTGGCTCGCATCCGGTCTCCTTTCGGCTGCCCAATGAATTAAAGCCTGTCTCGAGTAGCCATAAGACGTTGCTACACTCACACGTGAGTGTCTGTGTGTGTGTCTGTGTCCCGGTGTGTGAGAAATATGTGAGCAGCTTTAGCTAAGTGAAATTTTCATCAAGCTACTTAAGCAGTCGATGCTTTTTCAATCGCATCAAATTGATTCCTCCTCGAGCTGTCACACCAGCAGCTTAATTATATTTTAGCCCGCTCAATTAAATTCCTTTATTATTCTTTAATCCCAACTAACATTTAGCTTCTATCGGATAAGTGCTTGAGTTGCTTATGCTCTTTAATTTTTATACATTCCTTAAAGGAATGATTGCCTCGAAGGTAAATCAATAAGAGCAAAAAGCTTTCTCACTTTCTCGACCCTTTTCTCTGCTTAGCTCTTACCTCTACCGTCTTTCCGCTGAGTGTCTTAAGAGCTCTCTCAGCTGCACTTAGAGTCAGACCGCAAACAATAACTCAATTGATGCATCGAATGACAATTTCAAGCATTTTTATCAAATAGATACCAGCCACCTCCACATCTGCCACGCCCACTGTGCACACAGAATGATGCATTTGAGATGTGTCATGTAACAGAGACAAGAATGAGAGTTTTTCAGGCTACGGGGTATTTTGGAGATATTGTTAAAAACAACCGAAGCCCCAGGCTTGAAAGGATGCGGGCAACTCGATTTGCTGATGCTCTGCTGCATACACTGTCCAGCTAGCGAGCTGTCTAAATTGTCCAACTGTCCAGCTGTCCGTCTGTTCAGCTGTCGGTGCGTCATGTTGAGCTACAAAGCAAAAAGTGCCGAGGCATTGCCCGCTGCTGCTGCTGCTGTTGCAGCTGCTGTTTCGACTGCCATTTAATTCAATGACGGACAACAAAGCATTGCCACTGGGATGCGCAGCAGCAGCTGTACAGCTATGTCGGTGTATGTGTGTGTGTGTGACTGAGTGTGTGTGCAGGCAGTGGCATACAAAACAATTTCCCTGGAGAGTTTCCATGTTCAGTTATTCGCATGTGAAAAAGCGCATCTGTTGTTGATTGTGTGAACTTCCTTTCAATCGTTTGTTTGTCGTTGTTTCTTCTTGTTTGTTGTTGCTGTTTTTTTGCTACTATTGTTGTGGGTGTTATTGCTGTTATCCGCCAGCGGCGACTGGCCTGCAGCCTTCATGCATTCCTTTTTGTTACACTACCTTTTGCGACACTCTTGAAAGGGCAGCTGCTTTTTTGCTGCCAGCACTTTGCAAACTTTTGTAATTATATAATGCGCAATGCGCATTGGAAATTGTAGCTTCAAACTGTTTACATATTTTTTCAATGTGATGTAATTCCATTCCGATTTTCGTTAGTTCTATGAACAAGCATTAAAGCCTTACTAAATATATGAATTTCCATATCAGTTTCATTCTAGACTCTCGAAAGGAAAGCATACTCTTTAGTCTGCTATGGTGCTTAGAATAGTTTTGTAAGTTAACTCCTGCCATTCGACTAAGAGTCTATGTCGAGCGTCTTTAGAAACAATTGCGCTGTTTTGTGCAAATAGATATATATATATGTATATATATGTATAAATATATACAGTATAAACTGTCGTTCTGGCCAAACTCAAACGCATCTCCAAGGAATCCAATTCAGGAAAACCCACACACACGCACACAGTGATGTGGACATTGCGGGGGCGGCGTCGTCGAGTTCAAATTTTGTGCATTGTGCTTTTTATTTATTGCACGGCACAAACAGAGGACGCACACACACACACACATACACACTCAGACACAGACCGACTAGAGTCAAGTCCTGCTGGCTGCTAGAAATGAGATAGTAGCTGGCATTGTTTTTTGGTACGAAATGAAATGAAGGGAATAATGAATGCTTCTTTGTCTCTGTGTACGTGGCTGTATTTATTGTGTGTGTGTGTGTGAGAGTCTATACAGGAGCCAAGCGGGAATCGGACAGAGTCSCTGTAATAACTAACTAACTCTCGGCATAATTGCCTCGCCTCTCGCCAGCAGAGAGCCTTGTTCATTATTATTTATGATAGCCAAAGGGCATTCTTCCATTCAGTCCCCTGAAATGCTGCTGCTCGTGTCAGCTTTGACGCTAATGAGACATACATTATTATGGTGCTAAATAATAAAATAATAACAAAATATTGGTCAATAAGGCAGACCAGGCATAATAAAAATATTTTAATGCCAATGAATTTAATCACACATTAATTAAGTTGAAATCAAAAATCAAATAATTAGCCAATAAACAAATAGAAATTAAATTTTTGATATGCAGAGTAATTATTTAAATATGAGAATTATATTATTATTATATGCATATATTTAAATAATTGCTAATGATTTCATTTCCAAATATTATAGCATACTTTTCTGCGCACTTATTGTGGAATATCATATGTGTGTATGTATGCATGTCATTAATATTCGTAATTAGCAAACTAATCAATATAAAATGAAGAAGATGCCAACAAAGTTCATTATTTGCAAAATTATTATTATAAATATTTTAAATATTATGGCTTGAATATATTAAAAATTTTATTCAATTTTCTTATATATGAAATGAGTTTTTCTTCTAAACTCCTTACCATCCTTGTGGAGGGAGGAACCCAAAATTCAATTATGGACCTGGTACTTAGATTAATAACGAGTTAGATTTGTAGAGCATCACTGTTTTTTGGTTGGAGAGCCTCATTAATACCAATTTTATACACTCTATGAGGACTTTTCTATTTGGCAATGCATTCGGCAATTCTATACTATTTATTGCTGATTTTATTTTCTATTTTGAAAAACTATGTTTTTATATTATAATAGGAATTGACACACTGGCTACGTTTAAAAATGCAAATTAGTTTATCGATAAAGTAAAGGCATAAAATAAATATGATTAATGATATACAAGAATATTCATTGTGAATTTTTTTTTTTTTATATATATAATAATGTTTATTGAAGCCATTCGAGGTACTCTAGTTTCACCAGTTTCCCCAATAACTTCCCATTTTTATGGAATGAAAAAATTCTCGAAATGAATGCAATAAATCGTAGTTTTATTGAGCTTAGATAAAGCTCTTGCTTATTTTCAGACATGCGGGAATATTTCTAATGCGATTTATTGCCCCAACTACCTTTTTGAACGCAACTGAATAACACTAGAAAAAATCCAACAATTGACTGTGGGTATTTTTCTTCTTTTTTTTTTCAATTTTAAGCTAGACTACAGTGCGCATCAATTTTAATTTGAAGCAAAGCTAATGTGCAGCAGTTTGTGACATTAGCCGAGGCATTTTGTAGGCGCTGGCGAGGCGACTCTAATCCTTGCCACTTAAGGCCAACAAATTGCCACATAAACAATTCTAATTGAGATAAACGATATCGATGCATGTGTATGTGTTTGTGTTTATGCGTCTGCTTGTGTGTGTACAGCGCGCTCAAAGTGTTAAATGCAGGCAAGTTGTAAGTCTATCCAGCCCCCGGAGCGCGATGTCGGTTTGTATTTCACGCCCATCATAAAATAGCGCATAAATTTCACTTACTTTTTTAGCGTGGCAGCCAATGCCAAATCGGGGCGAACATCAAAGCGACTCTGCATATAGAAGCGCAATAAATTATCACGTTCATTTTCAGATAATCCTTCCTCGAGTGCTAATGCGGCCAATGTATGATAGGATTCTGACTCCGTGATGCCGAATAATAAATCATAACTGCAAGAGACAGCGAATACGAGGTGTATGAGAGAGAGAGAGAGAGAGAGACAGAGAAAGATAGAGAGGGAGAAATAGACAGACGGTAATGGTGGGTCAGACAGAGCAAAGGAGAGCAAGCGCATGAGCTGAAAATCAGTCTATAGAGCTATGGCTTAGAGTAAGTGTGTGAGTAGTTAGGCTTGCCTTACATTTATATAAGTAGAGGAAGTAATTTTTCACACTGCGAGAAATCAGCAGTGAGAAGTAAATAAGGGCAATGCAAACATTTATTTAATTATATATAGATGTATTTAATACATATATTAGTCACTTGTTAATAATTGTATTAGGATATGCTGAAACTAGCTAAAAATAAATATTATTTTTGTTATCTAAAGAGACTCACTGTCTATATATTTTACAGCACTTAATTAAAATTACTCTAATTTATAGCTTCTAAATTGCGCTCAGTGCAGCCTTCGCTTATTACAGACAACTTGATGCCGTAAACGGCATTTAAAAGCGCTGGAATAAAATGGGGTCCTGCGGCGTCACTTGTTACGCTGCCTGATAAATGGCAAATGCTAGAATGGCCAGCCCGCCCCATGGGCGGCACTCAACTATATAGTTTGTGTCCTGTTGCGCGCCTGATATCCTGCCACCCAACAAACGGCAAAGACGAAGTTATTAGTGTCTGGTCAGGTTTTTGCCACCAGTCGATAAAAGTAAATGCAAAATGCAGAGAGACAGGCAGACAGAGAGAGAGGGAGAGAGAGAGAGGAAATGGGAGAGAGAGAGAGAGAGAGATACAAAGGTAGAGCGAGTGGTAGATGAAGCTGACGCTCGATAATTGTTGTCCTTGCTTAACGCCTTCCTCTGCTTACCGCTTTGATCTATGGCCATTTCATTAAAGTGCTTAAAAGTGAAATGCGAAACGAACTGAATGGGCAAAGCTCAGACCTGTAAACGTGCCAAACGTGTTTCCATTTAGTTTGTACCAAGTTTGCAGTTAGCTTTAGCCCGAGCCCCTGCCACGTCCTGGCGCCCTTCTGCCTGCCGACCGTAATTAATGGTACTTCCGTTCGGCTATTATTCTACTATTTTTTTTTTCGCACGCAGCTTCTTGTCGACGGCTAAAACACGTTCGACTTGCAAAAGGATAACAATTAAAATCCAATTAATCACGCATTTTATTCGATTATGCGTAGCATCCCAAAAGCAAATGGACACGTTCCACAACGTACGCGTCAGAGTCGCAGGAAATGAGATTGAGCAGGAAGTAGTGAGAGAGAGGGAGAGACAGAGAGAGACAGATTGAGGGTGAGAGAGATAAAGAATGAGAGAAACAGCAGCTCAGATAACAAAAGAAGCTGATAGGAGCAAGAAAAATGCTGAAATGCTGAACCCTTTGTTAAGGCCTGAGTTATTACTTGTTGCCTGATTGATTGATGTGGATACAACAGCARCTCAAACACGAGCACAAACACAGCTCGATATTATCGCAAATGCTTGGCGAGCTTAAAATATTAGGCTGCGCGGGTATCTGAAATCCGCAAAGACGGCAAATGAAAAGAAAATGAAAATCTTAAAGCTTTGCATGTTTTCAATTTAAATAAACTTTGCGTGGAAGTTGGCCAGAGAAGGAGTTTTGTTTTAAAGCTTTACAGAGATATTGAAATATGAAACAATTAAATTATGTTTTTTAAAGCCTAGCAGAGATATTGTAATATTTAATTAAATAAAAAATCAGTTATGGGTATTAAGGTTTGCAGATATATTGAAATATGTAATAATTAGTTACTGATTTATGTTTTTAAGGCTAAACAGGGATACTGAAACATGTCTGTAATAATTAATAATTGAATTGCAAATTATTTAAAATTTAAAAATTAAAATTTCATAATCAAGCTATCTGAATATAATTTTTTCTATTCAGCCTTAATTATAATAAAACTTAATATTTGTTCATATTGTAACATATTAATGTATTGGGTTTATTTACCATTTCACCTGTTCTCACTTCAAGTTTCTTGCTGATTTTTATGAAATGTTCGTATAGAATTTCTCAATATTAACACAATACTTTTTTTTTGCCCGACTAAAAGCTTTTGCTTTGTTAACCTTCAAGGACTTTGAGTTACGTTTACCTTTCGCGTATATGCTGCGAAAATGCTAATAGCATATTGGAAATATTTGCAAAAGCATCCAATGATTAGCCTGTCTGAGCCAACAATTACCCATTTCTCTGCAGCTCTTGCAATTTGCTTGACATTCATGAATATTTGTTGGCGCCTCTGAGTCTAGAGCCTGCTCGAAGCAGCGAGGCATTAGAACATGCCATTAACTGGAGTGTTAACCCAGCCTGAGGGTCCAACAAGTGGCATTTGAAGCGATCCCAATAGCTGCTCAATTCGTTCAAAATGCATACTTGGATTTCACGAGCGATTTAATTTTACCTGAGGGTCAGAACATGCCACATGCCACATACCACATGCCACATGCCACATGCCAAACATCTAATCAAGTAACGCAACAATAAATAAATAGTCCTTGGGCTATTTGGCAGGTCTGAAGCAAATATCAAAAGCTAAAGCCAAAAAGTATATATAAAGATAGAGAGAGAGAGGGAGAGAGAGAGAGAGGGAGAGAGTGAGAGAGAACTGCGACAGCAATTGCTTAACAAACCGGCTGAAATGCTCCGTATAATGCCCCATGACCTTGTATGGTTGATTTGGTATTACGTGTCCATCGACAATTGGACCCAATGATGTTGAAAATTGTTGAAACGATGTTGGTATGTGCAAGATATCCTGGTAGCTGCAAAGACCAAAAAGAAAGCATCAGACAAATGGCGTAAAAAGGTCATATAACTGGATGAATGAGTCACTGAGTGCGCGTGTGAGTGAGCGAGTGTGTGCGTGCGAGTGAGTGAGTGTGTACGTGTGTATGCGTGTAAATGACAGCGGCTACTTTTCACTTTGATTTGAAATTTCTAATAAATTTTATGTGTGATTTGTTGCTGGACCCCACGCACACACACGTGCGCCACATAAAGATACATCCCAACAGATACACATATGGCTTGAAAGGGGATTTTTGCTATTCGATTGCCTCACCACAGCTGTTGCTTAAATTTACTTTAACCAAATGGAGGGAGACCTAGCGAACTGTACCAAATTAGAAACGTATATGTATGTGCCGAAGCCAATGTATGTATCAAATGAACGCATTTGCATTCAACTACTACTTCAGCAAGACAATAAACTCTGGGCCAAACAGAATATCATATTTGGAATGCAATAAGCATATATAGACATCATCGACGAAAAAATCCCATAAGCGCATGCACTTTTTGCCCCAATGTAAATTTCATTGTTGCTGCTGGCGTGGCTGTTGCTGTTGATGCTGTTGTTGTTGCTATTGCTGCAACATTTCGTTGCCGAATAGTTCGACTGGGTCCAATTTCTGTAGTAGTTTGCATAAAAATTCAGATGTCAGAGTTGCACTCAGGCAAAGAGCATTGATGTTGGTAAGAATTAAGAAAAAAACCGAAGCAAATATGCAATTGCAGGCAGCACAATTTTATCTCACAAATGCAGACAGTCCGCACAAGCAAACAAATAAAGCGCGACTAGAAGATTTCCTATAAATTTTAGCTTAAAACTAATAATTATATATTCATTTTATTTATTAATTTTTATTAGTAAGTACAAATGTAACGGAAATATTTTATTCTATTTTTATTTTTTTAAATATAAATTCTAATTTGTCTGCATTTTCTATACCCTCTTTCACTTTTCTCAGCTCAACAGGGTATGCGCTAACATTATATATTCCATAGCCTGGTGCAGTCGAAAATCGAATTTCATTTGAAAATTTTGCAGCTTCACATTTGCAAAATGTCAATTGGATGCTGAAACGGAATATAGGGACTACCCTTAATGAGCACAGAACGTACCTTTGTAAGCACATGTGGCTTACGTGTGCATTGATTTAAATAAATGTGAGGGGAAACCAACATTTAGCGGCAATTGAATTAATTGGCCCGCCTGATTTTACAAAACGCGCACTTAAAGCTCCCTTGAGGCAATATCGTCTTAAAGCTCTTAAGCAGCCGCACCACCCAACGAACCACCTCCACCTCAGCCCAGCACCGCAAACACTTAAGGACTTAATCAACCGCAGTAGTTTGTGCGGCTGCTGTTGGCATGGTCAATGGTCGAGACATGTTCCGGGTCCGATGCAGGCATCGGCTCTACTGCGGTCAACGCCAATTGTCTTTCGGGGCGTGGCCATCGACACATGACCAAGTTTATCGCCTTTGCTTCTGTTTAGCCCACAGACAGTGTGCTCGACAAATTGTGACTAGCTGCAGGGACTCCTCAAGCCAATGTTCCGCTTGCTGTGGCAGCGCTTCAATTGAGTTTCGGCTGCAGAGCGCAAAGTTTTTGAAGCGTGTCGTATATGTGATTTATGATTTTCATATGTGGCACAGAACCTGCGCTCTTTCCATCCAACATTGTTCCTGCATTGTTTCTGCTGCTGCTGCTCTTATTAGCTACGCTCTGTCGCAAAACTGTCGCAAGTTGAACTGCAACTGCGATTAACTTGTTAGCAATAGTTGGCTCCGATACAGACATGTGCGGGCGCACAGTGCTGAGCAGCTGCATAGAAACAACTTAACATTTTATATGAAATAAATATTTATCTACAAATATTTATCTATCAAATCAAATTATTTCAGGCCAATTTTAACAAATAATTAACATGAATAAATGATTTGACATCAATTACAAACCAAATCATATTATACCATATAAACACTTAAAAGCAAATAAATCAATTTGGAAAATTTAATACACATATATTATTTAAAAATTATGGTAAAAATATTTTAAATATTAGATTAAAAAGTCTTAAATGTTGTTTTTTAAATTTCTTTTACTTAATTAAATATTAAAAATATATCTATAAGCCTTTTTTAAATATAATTTCAATATTTTAATAATTGATTAAATAAATAAA